ATATCGTTTGCTCCCCCATTTCAGTAAAAGATAACTGAAAAGATCCTTGATGTACATTCTGTTGATACTTTCATTTGTTAAAAGATTGTCTAGTCTATGGGTGAGCAATTTAATCTTATTCATCTTAGATTAAGCAAACTCATGTATTAACCTTGGTATTACCTGTGTGCTTAGGTAAATTATCTTAGCTTTATCCATTTTACTTTATGAGGAAATATTATTTGGTTTAACTTTTCTCGAAAAAAAAGTACAAATAATTTTGATACACAACTACATGGGTGGGGCTTTAGGCCAAAACTTGTTATCTATTGTTTCTTTTTTTCTTGTAATCTGTATTCTAGGAACACGCAATCAAGTCTGATACCAGTATGCTGGCGACAACTTCAAATTTCGTCAAGGTGTGGGACATTTGTTTTCACTGTTGTATTATACTTTTGGAGCTTATTGCGTATGAAATCGACAGAACTCCACATTTTGTTGTCTGGGACCACTTTTCATTCTCTTACACATATTGCTATTATCCGAATGCAATATCACAGCCTTTCAAAATAGTGGAATTGCTTTTCCTGCTCAAACATTGTAGTAAAACTGCGTGGTTTCGTCCATCTTTTTACTTTCTTAAAACCAAGTGATTAACAGTAAGTACGGGAATTATAAAGTATTTATTAATTTGGGATGAGGCTTGGCTAGTATTTGCTCCTGCGTGAATTTTATTTAATAATGAGTGAAGTTGAATATAACATACTTACAAATAAAAAAGTAATGGAATACGCATTGCAAATGTTAATCGATCATACATCTCATATATCATCCTAGTCAACTAGAATCTGAGATTCTTTCGAAAAATTATTGGTTTTAATTTTAAAAAAATGCATTTTCGGTGTGTGGATGATAATAAAGAGTAAGAATACCCGTAACCCAACAATTACGCAATTACTTTATAATATATTATGAATTAAGGTATGATGATTCACTGCTGTATAATGTATAAAACAACATGATACATATGGTACTATTTAATCAAACTTGTTAAACATTGAGCATTTAAGACATTATCATCAACATCGTACTTCATTGATTTACAGTGTTGTTTGACTATGAAACGGGTCTTATCAAACTCTTCAGAAATTAATATATATTTACAAAACCTGTTATTATTCATGGAGGATGTGGGCTAAAACAAAATTAGCTTTTAGGCTGAAAATTAGTTAGCAAGAAAAATAAAATGAGTGTCCATTGTGAACCTATCCTACCCAAAATAAACAATTCATTATGCCTGTAGATGATCAGAGATTGAGGGATGAAAGTCACTTGAAGCGCAGGGATGACTACCGTAAAAGGACTCTTCATTTTTACAAATTTGATCTCAAATAAATACATTGTACTGTGTGATTATTTATTTTCTCGACTGATTCAGGTTAGGCATATATAAAGTAGATTAAGTTTCAGGGTAATTTGATTTTTGTGGTATAACTGAAGAGCAGATTAAGTATCCACCTTTTACTTTTTTAAGTATACCTTGACAGCATCAACTGTTACCATTAGTAAATGTTATAAAAGCATGTGTAAGACTTACCTGTTCCCATCTCCATACAGCACACCAACACATGCAGCTAAAACGATAAGTGCTACCTTCATTTTGTTTGTTTTCTTCACAAAGTGCAGTAAACAAATGGGTAACCCAGACAGTAAGTCAGGTATATGTATAAACTGATGAAGGTGCGACACGCGTATGTGACGTAACTATATTAAAGGCAGCCAATGAAAATAGACCTATAAGGGTACAAATCACGTGTTACTCCCACCCTGAGTTTCAGAGATTACTAGAGACGCGCATCTACCATTACCATGTCTAAATGGACATATTAATAATGGGGGGGGGGGGGGGTTCTGTGGATCTCTGAAACACAGGGTACCTGCAACGTAACCGTCATTGACATGGTTGACATGCAGGTCTGGGATTCGAGACAGACGACATGAAGCTCATGCATAACATGAACCAGTTTTCCTGACACTTTGTTTTTTATATAGTTTCGATTACAAAACAAAAAGTCACAATAATACAGTTTAATTTTTTATTTATCAAACAGGCGTTTCTCAGATTTATCCCCATGTAAAATTTGCATAACCTTAAAAAATTGATTCTGATGCTTAATCTCGCATCCTTAAGTTCTTTCGTTGATATAAAGTATAGGTTGAGTATATGGGTTCCAAAAACAAACATTAGCCATTATTGTTAACATGGAAAGTAAATATTCCACAAAACCTGACACTTTTGTTGTCTTCAACCTTTCGTATTTCTTTGTTAATAACCACTGCTTATATGGTGCACTTTTTAATTTAAGAATAACTTTTCTTGCTTAAAACGCTGCAGTGAAAATAGAAATTTTCTAAAAACTTTGTTTACACTAAGTGGAAAACAAGATGCAAACAAAAATCTGTAAAGGTTATTTATGAATTTGGAGAGTCCGTAAGATGTTGGTTGGCGAGGAATAGAAATTTAATGAAGACACAAGATGTATTATGACATTTTTTCCCCTCAAAATTTTGAATTAAACCAATTAAATTTGGCTGTATTTTTCAGTCACCATATTGGATATTCTGGCAAAAATATTGAAGATGATTTTACAGTGACTCTATATCAACATTGTCCCAAACGTAATGAGAACATTAAATCTTCTACTGGATCTTACGGACATCACGACGTTTCAACCTTTTCACAAGGTCTTCTTCAGGTGAACTGATTTTGAATTGTCACCGTGGTGTCATGTGGTGACATTCTGCGTGGGATGTCTCCAAGACCCCGGTCCAACAAATGTAGTTGGCCACCGTACTTGAACATCATACCCTCAACAAGCACGAATTAAAATTCATGGTTTAATCGATTTGATAAAAGTGGTTTGGGCTCTTTAAATGTCTTTGATGCATATAAACATGTGAAATGCAGGTGGTTAACAAGCTATAAGGGAACACTGACAACAAAATATGGGTGGCTGTGGAGCTTAATACTTTGCCAGCAGCCTATAGCTGACTTTTTTAAATGGTGACAGAATATTATTATTATTATTATTCAGTCGCACTTGAAAGACATATGTTGCATTTTCAGACCCCATTCCGTACCCATAAGGTATTGTCTGTAAAACTCGGAGTTGGAGTATTTTCAATATGTCGCAGTTTTTATAATCAAGTATTTTTTATAATCATAAATAGTGTCCATTGTCCACCCACTGACAGTTAAATCTGTTGGAGGACAGTATAAGTATCCCATGAATAGCTCGATGTACAGCCAGTTTCTATCCTCTTTTTCCACCTTATTACTGCATTAACAGGCCACTAGCTAGCACTCCTCATCTCCATGATCCCCCCCCCCCACACACACACACACAAATTGTCAGCACAACAGTAAAGGAAACAATGCCATCTGGCAGTCCATAACTCTGCTAATTGTTACAACATGCTCGGTGCTTTACCGATGCAACTAAGCGAAAATATATATTTGATTTAATGGAACTGCTAGATATTTTACTGATTACGTCTATTTTTACCCACACCTGCCCCCTTTTTGTTGTATCAAAACTGGGTTATTTTACTTTTATAGCAAATTTGCTACTATATTGATGGAAATAAGCAAAAATAATTTTCTCCACGCATACACCTGCAACTCGTTGCCGCAAACGTTGGCTGCAAACTTTTAATTTTCCTTCGGGCCGCCACAAGCTTCCATACCTACATACAATCATTCTCAAGCAGTCCCTACCCTAGGTTCTAGATTCCGGTATTGCCAGCTCGATCTTGATTTCATATATAACCCATATCGCAATACCAGTGAAAGTGACTCCAAGGTATATTAAATATTAAACAAACTAACTTCCACGTCTCTCTGACACTCAGGGTAGCAGTCCCGGAACTAGGTGCGATTTCCAGTGTGTTAGAAAAATTTTATTATGGTAGGTGTGATGCTTTGGAGCAACTGATAGCGACGTAATTATTGTACTTATAGTTCGATGTGTCGCATGATGAAGAACAACGGGTGTCACCTATTGATGAATCGCTAACATGTTTAAACCTATTTATGACGCAATTGTGCTTAATGTCAAATTTGGCAGTTGGGTATCAGATGGATCGCAGAGGGTCCTTTTTTGGGGGGGATCACTGTGCACTGGAAATAATATCATAATTGACAAATCACAGTAAACAAAACTTTATTCATATCAAACAGATAATGCCTTTTCCAAATAATGACTTCGTTTTACAAATGGCAGAGAATAGAAATCCACACTCACGAGTCACTGGAATGTGATGTTTAAAGAATCCACTAACTAAAAAGGTTCCACGCATAAGGGGAATTAAAAGGTGGCTTTCACGGGTAACAAATAATAATAATAATAATAATAATAATAATAATAATAAACCAATGGGACCCTGTACACAATAGGCCACGTGTTATTTCTCTTAACTTTCTTTCCCTTACTCCAAGGGAAATGATGTCCAAAACAGACAAAAGCAAAAAAACTGTTGCATTCCAGTCTCCTACATTCTGTAGCCACTGGATGTGTTCGCCTTCACCTACAAAAGGCTCGCGACATGTCGAGATTGTGGTAGCTGTGATTTAATTTCTTACACTTTGTGGTAGTTGTTCCTCTGTCTGTCGGTAGAATTTCTGAATTTCTGCGTTTCTAAAACTTTTGCCTTTCAATAATAACATACAGTCTATATATATGGCACCAAGCAGAAATACGTATAGAATATCACTCCATCTCAATATCCCATAATGTAATTAGGGCTTACATGTATAATTACCACTACAGGTCATTGTTATTATCAAGATTTTGGGAAACCGGACATAGCCACACGAAAGCTTCCCCTTCCCCTTGTGAAAAGTCCACACGTTAAGGTATTAGCACGTATATTGTTTATACAAAATCTTATGCCTTATCACAAAGCCTTTAGAATTTATCAGAATCCAGTATTACATTAAATGAAACTCAAACCAACGTTGGTCTTGCTAAGAAGTTTATTATTATTTAGCGGTTAAGGCAGAGGATAAAATGGCTTCATTATATTGTCCAAGATTTAACAAAGAAAGGAAGTGATCGTCATCGGAAGTAGTTGCTGATCACTGCTTTGTGTTTTTGTTCACAGCAAAAAATCTGAAATGGAAAAACATATTTCAATGAGCTGTCATGTAAAATGAGAAGGAGGGGATTTGTTCAGAAAAGACTATTGTTCTATTGTGTGTTTAAAATAATGTTTCACTTAAAGTAAAATTTAATCTTAAAATATCGCTAATAATTACCACTGAATTGAAGAACACCCTTTTGTTCTTGCTCTTTGATTTCCTTTCGAAGGTTCTTTTCATATCTCAGAAAATGCTAAAAGAAAATGTGAAATACTTATTGGAGGTTCAGGATTATTATTTTTGGTTTGTTTGTTAACTCCCTTACCTATGTCGAATAATGTTAACGGTAAGTAAACTAGCCACCTTGCCTTGAAATTAAAAATGCCGCTATCTTGGTAGTCCACATTTTAAATGAGTAGTAAGGCTTATGTGCCGAGGACGCGTTATAAATTTTTAGTTTTAGATTTTATAGCGTAAGTGTACTAGTAATGTATTTGATGCAATTACCTATTGCATTGTTATACCAGCAGGCTTTATTTTCTTGAGCAAAATATTATTTGACAATGAATCACAAAGATCCTTATGTTGTTGAATAAAGCATTATTTGACAACGCGAGCTGTGTACATTTTGGGATCTTTGGGCGAAATAATTTGCAGGCTTTGCTTTTTGGAATATGTTACTCTTTATTCGTCAGAACTTTCCTGTTGGTAGATTTTCTGTGCATTATACATTTAATTAATTTTTCTGCCAATATATAGATGTCAATATATAATCCCACAAGTGGTAAATATGGCATGAGTTGCCAGTTTAATCTTTAAAACAATAACCTGCCTTATCCTCTAATATTTCATATTAAAGTATGACTTTTGCTATTCCCGGCCTCAGGCACCGAGCCCACCTCTGGTCCATATGTAGTAGTAGTAGTGTTAGTAGTAGTAGTTTATTTACCATGACATTCTTGTCATAGGTACGGTACAACAATTTACAGGATAATAATGTTAATCACAATAATATAAATAAATGATAATGAAGATAATAAAGACAGACAATGTACGATATGTCATCACCACGGTACACCCATTTTAAACCCGTAAGAGCGTCACGATCAATAAACCAATTTTTAATCTCTTTAGTTAAAACTTGTAATATTTTGTCAGTCCTCATCTCCATTCCGAAAATGGCTAAGAAATAAGCCCTTAAACTATAGATCGTTATTTTGTCAACGGCTTGCTTAGTTAGAAGGAGAAAAAAAGTCCTGAAATCTACAAAGTAATCTCTAAGCCTTATACTCAGTATTTAACTTAAAGATAAACATAATTTTATAAACATATACTTACATCTGCACAAAGCATGATACAGTCCTTTATTAGGAGGACTCCAGTGACTGAAACGAATTTAATATATGAATATTCTAGCATATATATATATATATATATATATATATATATATATATATATATATATATGAAATAAACACGCATACAAAAACATGAGCTATTTGATTATCAATGAACTTGTATGATCTCTAAAACTGAACTAACAAAATAGCGATATATGTACAATATATGTACCGCAATATATCATCACTATCGATTTTAAGCCCAAACATTGGCCTATAGAAACTGTAAGATCGAAGGTGTAGACTCATTTTATCGCAAGAAATATGGATTAAGTCTCAGCTCAATACTGAAATTAAGTTTGCTACTATATCTTAAGCCGAAGTAGACTATATGTTAGGACTTCTGGTCAATCCATGTATATAAATTCGCTTGAAGTTATCGGAGTATATTAAATGAACTAATACAGAGGTTCAATTATTAACCAATCCATAACGTTTAACTCCTTGAAAAACAAGAAATAGACATGTCAGAATTGTCATTATTGCGTCACAATTGCCACATTATGGATTATGCACGATGCTTGAAGATTTATGTTGACGCTAAAACAAGGCAAACAGAATCATCACATGGCAATTTGATTTCGAAAAAGTCAAATTTGTGAATACAACGACAAGTATAAGATCAAACATGTTCAAAGACGATCGAGGAACGATTGAACATAAGCAAAATCCATTTGGTGGTAAACAATGGGAGCCGGGGATTTTTATTTTACTTCACAGTTTTGAATTCGTTTAACTAAACTTGGATCTCTTCTGAACAACATTGCCACCAGAAACAACACGGCTGGGAGCCGTTGCATAAATCGTAGCATTTTAGTGATAGCAACTTGGATTTAATTACATATTTGAATGGCATTTTAATTATCTTACCTGGCAAAGTGTTTGTGCAGGATTGATTGTTATTCTAACCGCGATGAAATTTAGTTTCAAATGGAAAAAAATATGAATTGGTGAAAGGTATTTGACATGGTGATAACAACTTTTATCCTGGTCACGTGGACACGTACTTGGATCATGATGTTGCTCGAGGAAGCGATCTTCCATAGTCAAAAATCCATCCTGATTCGTATCGACCCATTCAAATATTGCCCGACTCCAATTTTCGTGCAGTTTTTCATTCATCTTGGACCAGCTTCGTGCAAATTCGTCACTTGTTGTTTGTCCGTCCCCTGAAACCACGGACCAAGAAGTGAGATTATATCGTTCGAGCTCAGCCTCACCGGCTCACTTGGTTGGAAACTACAGCCAAGGTAAATCTACTTTTCAAAAAAAAAAAAAAAAGAAAAAAAAGGCAAAGAACTAACGTAAGTGAAATCCAAAGCGTGTTAATAGGAAATTATGCATAAAACACATCACACCCTCAAACATGATGATGGGAAGGGGCATGTACTATCAAATTAATTAATGCCAGTAATAAAAATACCGGTTTATGCGCATCCCTTAACACTTATCTCCAGTTTTATAATTGTGATGCCATCCCTTTAAGTGATGTTAAGATTGTGATGTTATCCCTTTAAGAAGCAACTTTAATAGAATATGTTGGTTAATTGATCTTCCTTACAACGCGTTTGTTTGTATTATTTTCATGTATAAATACAACACATTTGAGCAGCTGCTTACCATTCTCGTCAGTGGAGTCGATCAGCTCCTGTGTTTCATCTAAGACGCCGTTCTTGTCTACGTCATAATCCATGCATAACCACTTTCCAATTGCCATAGCTGCCAGTTGAATGTCTCGATCCGGGAACTGTTTGGTATTGCTATAATAGTATAATGAAACAATTGTTTTAATCTAGAATCTAAATCATTCTTTATAATTTTCGGTTTCTGTACAGTACATTTGTAATTCAGTCTATTGAACATTTTAAATTGATTTTAGACTTAAATAAATATTTTTTCCCAAATTTTCAAAAACAATCCAAGCATTTTCTGTAATTGTAATTTTAAGTTATTCATTATTTTTTGCCTTATGTTTTGCTGGCTAAACACTGTGAAAGGCACTTTAAGGCGGGAAACATTTGTTCCTTCTTCTGTATTACAAATCATGTGCATATTGTATATCAAATCTACGAAACTTGTAATAACAATACAATAA